AGGCCAGGGTAAGAGATTGGCTCTTCCGTCAGAACATCAGTCGGCCTCTAACCTGCACATTATATGTAGTTTAGGGCCGACTAGAAGATAATCTCTTCCTGTGTGGTTAACCGGGCCTGTGCACTGAAATAATCTGGTCAGTGGACCATTGAATATCGACTTCGTAACGAGCTCCGCAGTTCATAGAATATCTCGCAATTTTTAAATAGTTCGCAAACGTTAAGTTCATCTGAGGCGGAAGTAAGAGGGCTCAATATGTATACCTGTAAAACCTCTTACATACCCGGGACACTCAGGAAATACCATGTTCGAGAATAAGAATATGACGAAACCAGAGTCGCAAAGGTTTGCGAACTCACTAAAAAAATTATATTGAATTTACTCTTTATCTGATATTCAAGTCTAAAATTTTACTAAAACAATTATTCCCCCTCAGGCTCGGTGATTATGGAGAATATTCGCCGATAATCACTTAGTCTTCGGAGAATAACTGTTAAATATTGAGTTAGAAGACGACATTTTAAAGTGGCAGCTGGAAAACTTGCGACCTTCCATGTTAAACTCTATGAATGAGATGGGACTGCCATTTCATGTTGTCATTCATGAATCAAGGCATCGTTCTTACATTCCTTGTTAATTTTAGAGCAAAGATAGCACCTTAATTCTACTCAGATATATTTGAAGACCCTGGGTGCTGGTCCATTCGGAGGCTTGAACCCACGACATCCGCACATCAGGGCTGTGCGCAACCAACTGCGCGTTTGGAGACCAGGTGGCGCTTTCGAATCTGATATTATTATTATTCGCGTTCCGGCGTAAATGTAGGGGAGAAACATATTTTTTGTAGAAAGCAGTCTTCGCAAACAGTGGTTTGTTTATCGGCAAAGGCTTTTATAGTCTACATCAAGTACAGGACCAGAAACTCCTGGGGAAGACGGATCGGATCGTCTGGTAATTTACAGGCTTAATCTCTCTTTTTAACCTGGCAGGGAAAAAGCCTTTTTCGTGCAAACAAAATTGAGCGGAGCCAAGAAGAGCGCATCAGTGTCAGTGCGCTTATCTAAGGTTCTTGTGGCAATGCGCAACTTGCAAGTATCTTGAAGTAACACTATCCGGCCATCTTTTGCAATGAGAAAATAAGGGACAAGATTGCATGGCCGCCATGTTGAATACATGTTTTGTTAAACTTGGTTGCTAACTAACATGGTTGCTACGACGTCATTGAAATGCACGCAAAAATAGGAAGCCAGTTTACAGAGGTTGTATCTTCCCGTAGAAGAGCTCATAAGGGTCTTTTCATCACTGCGCATGCTAATGTATTGGTAACCGCTTGTTCTTGTATCTTTTCGACTCTTCTGACTGGTTCGTTTGGTAGATCATGATTAGCTAATTGCTATGACGTCACATCAAAACAATCTATTGTTT